TGCTTTTTTGCTTTGTTGATGTGTAAATTCGAGTTCATGGCAACCATAGTGGCGGCATATCACACCATTTGGCTTAGGAACCTCATGAAGGAGCTTACGAGATGTCACATCATACCTATCGTTGTATATGTCGATAACAAGTAGGCAATTGATTTGATGAAAAATCCCATGTTTCATGGTCGAAGCAAGCATAGTGACATTCACTTTTACTGCATATGAGAGCGTGTTAAAATGTACAAGCTATGGTCGAATATGTTAACTCGAAGGATCAACGAGCGAATATCTTTACCAAAGCTTTGACTAATGTGAAACACAAAAAAATACCAAAACATATTCGGTGTAACTGATACTGAGCATAGTCCGATTTAAAGAGAAGAATGCGATATTTTAACCTGGGAAAGATCCTTTCTCTCTCCGGGAAAGAATTGAACATCATTCACTTCTCTTTTCTAACTACTTTTGGTTGGATGCATTTCTCTTTCCAAAGATGAGTCATCCATCATTCCTCTTCTATCATACATTTCTCTTAGATTTATGGTTATGGGTCAACAACCCTCTTCGACTTATTTAATTTCGAACAAAAACTTCATCGATTGCATGCACCTGAAATAACTCTTTTAATACGAAAGTATTCAAGTACATCACTAAATATATTAATCCTTGAACTATAATATAACCTTAAAATATGACATTAAAGTATCAATGTCAACATATTGGTCCCTAAGAGGGTATATGCCCAAACTACGCATACAACCTTACCGAGAAGGACCTTCTCAATATTAACGAAACAATTACATCATCTACGATGACCGAACGAGTGATGATCACCTGAGTAGTCAATCTGCATTTCGGGCACAAGACAAATCTAAATAAAGAACAAAGATGTTAAACATCGGAACTAATTAACGAGAGAACATACTATAATATGTTTGAGACGAGTAAGAAGTGACTAATGATGTTACATATGTACACACGTTTGTACCTTCGGTCTTACAAGAAATGAATGTGATAAGATTAAAACATGATTGGTAGGAAGAAACAATGATTCCCGATGAGAATGATATAAATATTAGCTAACTATAGGAAAATTAGGAGGTACATTCACTCGAATCCATTAACATAACGAATTATGATTTCATATCTATGTGATTTTGACTTTATCATTGGAGCGTTGGTCTGGGAAAGTCTTCCCGATCTTCGGCTTATGAATTGTGTGTGTATTCCGTTAAAGATCTCTTAGTGCCGAACCATTGAAGGAAGTGTTTACTAATACCAGAGGCGCATAATCCTAATTCGTCGAAATTATCTAATTCAATTTTATCCCTTAGTATAAATTATAGCATTCATGCCATGATGCCATTACAATGCTTTGGTGAAAATCATATGATATATCAAATTAAAGATCAAGATTCGTGAGATATATAGTTCTTGATGTTCTCTCCACAAGAATCGATGTGGGACACTATCAACAACACGGGTGAAACTCGATGAGATTATACAGGTGCGCATCTTTCTAACAAAGACACGAAGAACATGCAAAAACTTCGTTCTAAACGTTGCATTATATTGCGCATGCATAGATCCCTTCTCAAGGTCCACCATTTTGGACCACCCTCGTGCACTTTGATTCTCCATTCTTGAAGGAACTGCCACTAAAACCTACCTACTACCACAATGCTTTAGGCACTACACTTTTCAAAGTTGCCATCACCAAGGCTTCTGCCACCTCCCAAAACCACCACATTCATTATACCTATATGTCATATGGCCCAACAAACCACTTCCATTTTTTTTTTCCTTTTTTATGACGATGACTTCATCAATCAGGCAACAAATTGGTCTAGCTAAGCTGGTATGTCTTACTGGCCTGAAAATAGATGCTTTCTGAACATGTGATTTTGAAGGCTGCCAAGAATATTAGCACTTAGAACTTAGAAGTGGAAGTTAGGCATATTATTTGATCATTCGGAAGAGGCCCCAGGTTCCACTAAATGGAAGAAGGTCATTTCTTATATTCCGTGTTCTATGTTCAAGAACACAAGTTCAAAACTTAACAAACGCAATCTCAGCTACATTGATTCGAAATAAATGTAGTTGGTCCCACACAATAAATGCTTTTTTCCTCAAAAAATTGTAATTTACAAAATGAAACCATCAAGTTCGAATCAATTGAGCAATCCCTATCCACAATTATTTTTTATGACAAGGGAAAATAAATAGGTCAAGATATCAAATCACATAATAAGTGCGTATGCTTTTATGTTATTGATTGTAGTGCATGATTGCGACTAACACGTTTCTCTTAGAATTGAATTCCTTTAAATACGGCTGAACTTCTTACTAAACTTCTCATTCTTGCAAGTGACCTCAAAATGAAGGCTTCTGTTTTTTGTGTCGTATACATGTGTTGTATTCTGCATAGCAATGGGAAGGAGGTTTCTGATACTTCTCATATTATACCTCTTTATCGGGATCCAAGTCCCAAAAACCAACCATGGAGACCATATTTCCATTTCCGACCCCCAAAGAACTGGCTGAACGGTATTTTAACTTTGCGACATATATAATTACCATAATCGTGCATTCTCCCTGTTTTAGTTGTTATATGTTCATTTTTTTTGTTATATATTTTAAACAGTACTTACTCCATTTTTATTCTCTTTGCATGGTTTTGTATCTTTTGGCGGGTATTTTAACATACAGATCCTAATGGTAATCCCTTAAGTTACTTTAATTTATAAGATGTTTTGAGAAGTTTTGTTTTCTGATCATTCATTTAATGCGATAGGTCCAATGTATTACAAGGGAGTTTATCATCTATTCTATCAATACAATCCATATGGTTCAATCTTTAATAAAACAATCCTATGGGGTCATTCAGTTTCCCATGATTTAGTAAACTGGATTCACCTCAAGAACGCTATTGTCCCAACCAAGCCGTTTGACATCAACAGTTGCTGGTCAGGCTCCACGACAATCCTCCCAGGAAACAAACCAGTGGTTTTGTACACTGGACTCGATTCCAAGAATCAGCAAGTTCAGAATCTTGCAATGCCAAAGAATTTATCAGACCCTTTTCTAAAAGAATGGAAGAAATATTCTGGAAATCCCATCATGACTCCACCTCATGGAGTCAAACCAGACAATTTCCGTGATCCAAGTACAGCTTGGAGGGGGAAAGATGGGAATTGGAGGGTAGTTGTAGGTGGTTTGAGAAACAATCTAGGAGTGGCAATTCTTTATAGGAGTAAAGATTTTGTTCACTGGAGCTTGCATGATGAGCCACTTTATTTTGGGAAGAATACTAATATATGGGAATGTCCAGACTTTTATCCTGTGTCTACTAACAGTAGAGATGGGATTGAGAACTCAGCGATCGGAATAAACCTCAAGTATGTGCTGAAAGCAAGCTTTAAATCACATGACTACTACACAATTGGAAGCTATGATGCCGATAAAGAAAAGTTCTTACCAGATGATCATAAAGTTCTTATTGGAAGTACCTCAGACTTGAGATATGATTATGGAAAGTTCTATGCATCTAAGACATTTTTTGATAGCGTGAAGAATAGGAGGATACTATGGGGTTGGATAAACGAGTCAGATAGCTCAACTGATGATATCAAGAAACAATGGGCTGGACTCCAGGTATTTAGCTATACTCGAAAAGTATTAACATCCAACTTTCTTGTAACAAAATCATAGCAGCTTTAAAACAAATTGATCACCTTTTTACTTTGTTAATAAACCATATTAAGGCACCATGAATAAAACCACCATAGTAATGACTAGTTTTGATGGGCGTTGCAGTCTATCCCTCGTCAAGTTTATCTGGACTCCACTCGACGCCAGCTGATACAATGGCCAGTTAAGGAAACTGAAAAATTGCGGGAGAAGCATGTTAGTTATTTTGGGAAGAAGCTAAAAAGAGAATCATTATTTGAAGTTTCAGGGATCACAGCGTCACAGGTTATCTCTGTTACGATTTTTATTCTTTCAAAAATCCGATTTTCTAACCCTTGATACATTTTATAATTTCTTTGCCTAGGTTGATATAGAAGTCTCCTTTATGCTGCCAAAACTAGAAGAGGTCGAGGTGTTGGACCCTAAACGGAATGATCCTCAACTTCTTTGTAGCGCAAAGACATCGAGCGTCATTGGTGGAGCAGGTCCATTTGGGTTATTGTTAATGGCTTCTCGAGACTTGACAGAACAAACTGCAGTCTTCTTCCGTGTGTTTAAAGACAACCATAACCATCAATTCGTTGTTCTAATGTGTAGTGATCAACGCAGGTTCATTCTCATAATCTCATACATTTATATTGATTCATATAAGGCATGCAGTCTTGTTCATGCACTTTTTACTTCTTGTAGATGACCCATATCTCATATTCTTTCGATTTGAACTTTTTCAGGTCTTCCCTGAGACAAGGAATTGATAAAACTACATATGGAGCTTTTATCTACATAAACCACAAAGATAAAATGATTTCACTTAGGAGCTTGGTATGAAGTTGTTTAATGTTTGAACTCTTGCAGATTATAACTATTTTTAATTAAGTTCCATATTTTGTAATTGTTCTTTAGTACTCTTTTCAGGTAGACAATTCAGTGATTGAGAGTTTTGGAGCTGAAGGGAGAGCATGCATTACGGCTAGAGTTTATCCAAAATTTTCTGTTTATAACGAAGCCCATGTTTATGCTTTCAACAATGGGAGTCTTGATGTGGTTATCCGAAGGTTAGATGCTTGGAGTATGAAGAAGGCCAAAGGCAACTGATGAGAAACGAGAACATTTTCACCTCAATTATATAAATCAGTTTGTAGGCTTGAATAAAGTAGCAATATATCTATCAGGTCTTGTTCCATGAATTGAAGAAGTATTAAGAAGACAAAACTGCCGTATTTAATTTTACACATTATGTGTTAAACGTAATTGTTTTTGTTAAATATTAACTATTTACGACCAAAACGCAACAAATTGACAAATTTTCCTTCAGTTGCTATATCTTTTTGACTAAACTTTCTTAAATTTTTTTTTCCAAGAACGAAATACCCAATTCACTCTAAAATGTTAAAAGCGCGGTTCATATAATACTACTACAAAAAGCTTGTTGTCGTAAAAGGCTATGATGACCGATAAATGTCATTAAAATCTGTGATTTAGAATAGCGTATTGCCCGTGGTCGATTTATAACATACAATTATAAACAAATATTTACAACATATATTACGACTGACCGTACATATATAAAATAGTAGAAGACCAGGAAATATTTTCTTCTATCGTATTCATTACAGAAAACACACAATATATATATAGAGGAAGAAAATAAGAGATCCTATCTTCAAGGCTAAGAAAAGGAAACACAATAAAGGATAGAAAAATACGTGAATAAGAAAAGGAAACAATCAATGATTGGAATAATCCAAAACTCCCCCTCAAGTTGGAGCATGAAGGTTGCAAATGCCCAACTTGTTGAGTAGAGATTGAAGATGTTTAGCTCCCAAAGCTTTGGTAAACAAATCCGCAACTTGAGACTTAGTGTCGATGTGTAACGGTTTCACTTCTTTCGACTCGACGCGTTCACGGACAAAATAACAATCCATTTCAACATGCTTGGTACGCTCGTGAAATACCGGATTGTTTGCAATGTGTTTCACAGCCATGTTGTCACACAATAGTTGAGTAGGATCACTTTGTTCTAGACCTAATTCTTTTAGAAGCCATCGAAGCCAAATGACTTCACTAACCGTAGTTGCCATTGCTCGATATTCAGCTTCCGCGGAAGAGCGAGACACAACAGACTGCCTTTTCGATTTCCATGATATCGGGGCTCCCCCCAGAAGTAATAAGTAACCGGTCCTCGATCTTCTCGTATCTGGACACCCAAGCCAATCTGAATCAGTATAGACAATTAAATTTGCTTCACCCTCCTTTGGAAGTAGTATCCCCTGTGCCGGTGTAGCTTTTAAGTATCTCAACACCCTCATAGCAGCATTCATGTGACTTTCACGAGGATCCGTCACAAACTGGCTTAAAATGTTGACTGAGTAGGTAATGTCGGGCCTGGTTGCTTGTAAGTATAGCAATCTTCCTACAAGTCTTCTATATTTATTTGTATCCACTCGCTTATCTTCATCATTCTTTTGGAGTTTAGCATTTTGCTCCATGGGAAAAGCGCTAGGCCGACACCCCATCATTCCACTATCCTCCAGGATATCAAGAATATACTTCCTTTGATTGAGCACTATTCCGTCTCGAGTACGAGTCACTTCGATACCTAAGAAGTATTTCAAGGGGCCTAGATCCTTAATGCTAAACTTCTCATTCAAGAATGTTTTCGTTTCTTTAATCTTTTTCACATCATTTCCCACAATTATGACATCATCTACATATATGAGTGCCGCCACGAATGAGTTTTCCGTTTTAAAGATGAATAACGAGTGGTCCGCTTGAGACTGTCTGAAACCGATCATATGTAACGATGAAGTAAATTTTTGATACCAATTCCTTGAAGCCTGCTTGAGACCGTAAAGGGATTTTCTGAGACGACATACTTTGTTTTCCTTTCCTTTCTCAAAACCTTGTGGGATTTTCATATAGACCTCTTCGTGTAATTCTCCGTGTAAGAAGGCATTGTTTACGTCAAGTTGATTGATAATCCAATTTTTCTTGACCGCCACTGCTAAAAGGGTCCGAACGGTGACGAGTTTGGCTACCGGGGCGAACGTATCATGAAAGTCAATGCCTTCTATTTGAGTGAAACCCTTTGCTACTAGTCTCGCCTTGTATCTTTCGATCTCGCCGTTTGGTTTGTATTTTATTTTATATATCCATTTTGAATCAATCGCACGCTTCCCTTTCGGCAATTCTTCAAGAGTCCATGTACCGTTTTGTTCAAGGGCTCGTATCTCCTTCTTCATGGCTTCTCTCCAATTTACATTTTTTACGGCTTGGCTGAAACTCTTTGGCTCATTATTGGTGCTGATTCCCGCTAGGAATGCTCTGTGAGAATGAGTGCAATTTTTGTAAGAAATAAAATTGGCTAAAGAATGTACCGTAGAGGAGTCTCGATTGGTGACGGGTGTTGCTTGGTCTATGGATGATGGCAAGTTAACAATGTAGTCATCGAGGTAAGTCGGCCGCGACCTGTTCCTTCTTTCTCTAGTGAGTGGAGGATTTTCAACATTAATTTCAACCGAATCTTCTTCATGCGTGTGTGAATTATTTGACTCCATGTGCATGCCATTTGAATTTACATTCACACTGTCAACGTTGTCTTGCATGGGAAAATCATCTTCATGCATATTTTGTGGAGCATTAACTTCTTCATGGCCCACTGGTACACTTTGATCATCTTCTTTATTAGTGACGGTTTGTTCATCGGTAAAGGTTTTATGATGCCATGTGGGTGCTTCGAATATATCGCCTTCTTCATTTTCAATTTGTATTTTTTCTTTACCATGGGGAAACATATTTTCAACAAATTTTACGTCTCTTGATACCACCATTTTCTTGTTCTTTATATCAAAAATCTTATATCCCTTTGTGCCATGCGGGTAACCCAAGAAAATTCCCGGTCTCCCCCTTTCCTCGAACTTATCTCCTCTTGTTTCTGTGTTGCGATAATAAGCAAGACAACCAAAAACTTTCATGTGGTCATAACTTGGTTTTTGGTTGTAGACAATTTCGTATGGGGTTTTGTTGTCAATCGTCTTGGAAGGGAGACGATTTATGATGTAAGCTGCCATTAAGATGCACTCGCCCCAAAAGGTAGAAGGTAACTTTGCTTCAAATCGTAGAGCTCTTGCTGTCTCGAGTAAATGTCGATGTTTTCGCTCAACAACCCCATTTTGTTGAGGGGTATGGGGACAAGTGGTTTCGAGAAGAATTCCTTGTTCCGTGTAAAAGTTCACCATGCGATTCGAGGTGAATTCCCCCCCATTATCACACCGGACCCTTTTTACACATTTATTAAATTGAGTTTTGATCATTTTACAGAAACCAATCAAGCAATCACTTGCATCGGATTTATGTCGTAAAAGAAAAACCCATATTGATCGACTAAAATCATCAACGATCGTAAGAAAATAATTTGCATGCGTAAGTGAAGGCGTTCGGTATTTTCCCCATATATCGCAATGTAAAAGTTCAAAACACTCTGTTGATTTGATAGAACTAATAGAAAAGGGCAATCTAGTAAACTTTGCCCTTGCACAAGAGTCACAAACCATATTGTTCGAGCTTAAAGAAAAAAAAATCAAAATGTGAAAGTTTGCTATGTGAGGCATGTCCCAAGCGTTTGTGCCATACTTCACCTGTTGTTGCTAAGGCTTCTCTTTTATTTTCTTTGACTTTCATCCGGTATAGACCTCGTTGGCAACTACCCGTCCCAATCAATCTCCTCGAACTCAAGTCCTGCATAACAAAAAAATCCGGGAAGAATGTTACGGCACATTTAAGTCCTTTTGTTAACCGGCTAACAGATAACAAGTTACACGTGAAGTCCGGAACATATAAAACATCTCGGATTTCACTCCCGTTAGGTAAAGTACAAGTTCCTTTTCCCTTTACAGGAATAGAGTCGCCATTTGGTATTGTCACAGGTAATTCAAGTGATGGTTCAATATTGTTGTGAATAGAATCAAGAATGTGAGTTATGTGCTCGGTACAACCTGAGTCTACAACCCAATCGTTACCTTCATCAAATTTACCTGCCATGTTGGCTGCCGGTTGAGTAACATCAATATTCTGAGAATTTTTCGCTGTGAACAGATTGACAAATTGCCTATACTGTTCGCTGCTTAGTCCAGCTATAGTAATCTTTTCATCACCATGCTTATCATTCATTGAGTCCCGTTCTGTTTCAACAAAAGCTGCTTTCGCTTTTCCTTTTTCTGGTTTCCCTTTGCCGGGCCACCATTCCGGGTAACCGATCCGCTTGAAACAACCGTCGCGAGTGTGTCCGTCTTTCCCGCAAAAATCACAATGTTCAACTTTATCATTTCCTCCTCTTTTTCCATTTCTTGGACCCGTTTTTCTCTGTGACCAAACATCAGCATCATGTTTTATGTGAGCTTGAAACGCAGCTGTTTCACTATTGGTCCTTTTTCCAGTTGAGATTGCCCGTTGCTGCTCGTCTTCTGCCACAAGGTGGTATGCCTCACCTAAAGTAGGAATAGGCTTCATTGCTAATATTTGGGTTCTGATCGTGGATAACTCACTGTCGAGTCCAAGTAAGAATTCGTATAATCTCTCCTTGTCTCTTAGTTCAGTGAGTCTTTTACTGATCCCACATTTGCAACCTGCACAAGAACATTTGGGTATATTAAAAACTGAACTTATCTCGTCCCAAAGTGCCCTTAGCTTGGTGTAATATGCAGAAACAGAAGCTCCGTCTTGCTTAGTTGTTGTGAGAAGTTGTTTTAGTTCATACGCCCTAGGTGCGCTTTCCTTCCCGAAGCGCTCACGGAGGTCGTTCCAGATTTCTTCGGCAGTGCTAGCATATTTGACACTAGATCTGATCTCCCTTTCCATGGCTGTAGTCAGCCATCCTTTAATCATGGCATCGCATCGAAGCCACCCCATGTGATTAGCGTGTGTCTTCTCTGGTTTCTGAAGGGTTCCGTCAACGAACCCTATTTTATTTTTCGCAAACAGAAAATTCTCCATTTCTTGAACCCAATCAAGATAGTTGTTGTCGTTTAATGTTTCATTCACATGCATTTGCCTAGGATAGTCTGACGGGTGAAGATAGTAAGGAGAGCCATGGTCGGATGATTCGTTGTCAGTCTTGTTTGATGAGCCGCTGCCATTGTCGTCTTCCCCAGCCATGTTGAATGGAGATGGTTATTTTAGGGTTTTGTTCAAGCGGTATGTAACCCGCTCTGATACCATATAAAATAGTAGAAGACCAGGAAATATTTTCTTCTATCGTATTCATTACAGAAAACACACAATATA